AAAACAAACAAACGTAAAAACACTTGTATTGATCTTTGAATCAGTCAGCCTTCATTTACAGGATTCAGAAACCACTCTAGCTACTTTAAGCAAAAAAAAAAAAAAAAAACCCTTTATTTTTAGAAATCAGTGTTTACAAGATTATTGAAAGATCTAAAAGAGTGGCCTTTACGTGGGCCTCCAGAAATAAGCCTGAACTGATGAACTGGACTGTCAGGGGGCTACCTCTGCCCCATGATTAGGAAGATAAGGAATCAGAAAGCAGCCACTGGAATGACTGATTCCATAGACACATAGACACATCACCCTAGCTGATGTTCGAGACAGTCTTGTCACCCCCACTAATATTGCCTCAAGAGTCACACAGCTTTTTGGCTTGATCCACACTGCCAAAAAAATGAATGTCCTGCATCCCTGTGTCTTGCTTCTCTATCCTCACTAAACTCATGGCCTGTACGTCGGAAGCTAAAAGACAAAGTCTTCATAACTGTGCTCACCATTGGAAATCACAGATTTTCTCTGCCTCACTTCTGTCTTCTAAAAGCATTATTCTCATGACCTGCTAATTCACAGGCAGCATAGGGCTCTTTGTTTTTTTGTACAAGTTGGTGTGAACAAAGTTCACAATATCTGGTGGAAAGGCAGGCTTGAACACAGCAGGCAAAATGACGTTTTTGCCAGATAACTCTCCCTTTCTGGAGTCTACTGCTATCAGTGGATGAGTACATGCCATGGTAGGGTGATAAGTTTTAGGGTACTGGCAGAGCTGTGGCTCCAGTACCCAGCATCTGAGGTGATGGGACTCATTGTTCTGGCTAGGGTGCCTTTGGAAATATGGGTCATGAAGACTGCATGTTTGCACCAACAAAAACCTGGTGCCATTGGCACTGTAGAATGAACACAACCCAAAAATGATATGCCATTTGCTCTGCCCAGCTGCCTCAGCCTTACCAATGCTGGTCATGTCTAAAGGTCATTGTATTGAGGAAGTTCCTGAACTTCCTTTGGTGGTTGAAGATAAAGTTGAAGGCTACAAGAAGACCCAGGAGGCCGTTTTGCTGCATAAGAAACTTAAAACCTGGAATGATATCGAAAAGGTCTGTGCCTCTTAGCAAATAAGAGCTGGCAAGGACAAAATGATAAACCATCCTTGTATCTGACACCGGACACCCTGCATCATCTATAATGAGGACAGTGGTGTCATGAAGGCCTTCAGAAACATCCCTGGAATGACTCTGCTTAATGTAAGACAACTGAACGTTTTGAAACTTGCTCCTGGTGGGCATGTGGGATGTTTCTGCATTGGACTGAAAGTGTTTTCTGGAAGTTAGATGAATTATATGGCACTAGGCATAAAGCTGCTTCCCTCAGGAAAATCTTCCTTCCCATGCACAAGATGAGCAACACAGACCTTAGCAAAAGCTTGAAAAGCCCGGAGATCCAAAGAGCACTTTAAGCAGCAGGCAAGCAGATTCATTGCAGAGTCCCATAGAACCCACTGAAACTCACGTTAAAGCTAAACCCATATGCAAACACATGTGTCAGGACACCATGCTTTGCCAGGCCAAGAATCACAAACTCTGGGGGATAAGGTAGCAGCAGCTGCAGCAGTAGCAACAGCAGCAGCAGCACTAGCCCTAGAGGCTAAATCAGATGAGAAGGGGGGTTGCAGGAAGAAGCCTGTGGTAGGAAAGAGAGGAAAAAATGACTGTTGGTGTTAAGAAGCAGAGGAAACCTCTGGTGGGAAAAAAGGCAGCAGCTACCAAGAAAACAGCAACTTGAAAGAAGCCAGCAGAAAAGAAAGCTACCACAGAGGAAAGTAATCCTGCTACATAAGCTTTTAAATGTGTTTATTTCATAAAGATGATATCATTTTGGACACCTTATTTTTAATATATACCTGATCAAAGAGGCAGTGAAGAAAAAGAAAAGTTCATGCGTCTAACTGGAAGAGCTGAAATCACTTCTGGAACTCTAGCTCAAGGGAGTCTAGGAAATGTGGTGTTTAGCTGTCCAGCCTCTGTAATGTAGGGCAGCCCAAGCCCACCAATCAGGAAGCTGGAGTTGGGTGTTGATGACCATCATGGCACATATCGAGGCTTTGGATACAGGATTTGCATTCCTTTTGGATGTGTCACTATACAAAGAAAAGCTTCAAGAGCCAGGCGTGGTGACTTGTGCCTGTAGTCCCAGCTACTCCAGAGGCTGAGGCGGGAGGATCAGTTGAGCCCAGGAGCTCAAGGCTGCAGTGAGCTATGCTCACACCACCACACTCCAGCCAGGGTGGCAGAGTGAGACCCTGTCGCTATTTAAAAAAATTAAAATAAAGAGCTTCAAAGCAAGATAAAGGGGAACAATTTATCTGAAAGTATAATATATACCTCTATAATTTATTTAACCTATGCTATTGCTAGTTATTTTTTTTCTATTTTTTTTCACATAAATAATGTAATAAATGGCTCTTATCAGAGTCAGTAATAGCCTCCTCCATTTTGCTAACACAGTGGTCAGTTCTCAGGCCTCATGTTGCTAAACTCAGTGATCAATTCTCAGACGTGGCTGGACACGGTGGCTCATGCCTGTGTAATCACAGCAGTTTGGGAGGCCAAGACGGCAGTTCTGCTTAAGCCCAAGAGTTTGAGAGCAGCCTGGGAAACTTAGTGAGACCCTGTCTCTACCAAAAAAAAAAAAAAATTTTTTTTAATTAACCAGGCATGGTGACATGTACCTGTAGTCCCAGTTACTCAGGCGGAGTGGGAGAATCCCTTGAGCCTGGGAGGTTGAGGCTGCAGTGGGCCAAAATCACACCCCTGCACTCCAGCGTGGGTAACAGAGCGAGACCCTGTCTCTTAAAAAAACAAAAATCTCAGGCCTTATTTTCCTTGATCTGTGATGACACTTGACATGACTGCTCATTCTCTTCGTAAAACTCCTTCTTCACTTGGTTCCAGAACCTCATGTTCTTGTTTTCCTTCTAGCTCGCGTGCTCAGTCTGAGTCTTCCTGCTGGTTCCTCCTCATCTCTCCAGCTCTTAGTGGTGGGTGCCCCAGGCATCAGTCCTGGGACCCCGTTTCTTCTTTGTGTACTCCTTTGTTGATCTCATCCAATCTTATGACTTTAAATACTCTGAACTTCAAACCCATGTATCCAGCAACTTCCTGGTTAAGATGTCTTTTTTTCTTGAGACAGGGTCTGGCTCTATTGCCCAGGCTGGAATGCAGTGGTACAGTCTCAGTTCACTGCGACCTCCACCTCCCGGGCTCCAGCCATCCTCCCACCTCAGCCTCCCAAAGTGCTGGGATTACAGGCTTGAGCCACCGCGCCCGGCCAGTACATGGATTTTTAATACTTGGTTAATTATTGAATTATCAGCACAGGGAACAGTGTCAGGATACATGGTAATCATTCACTGAGTATTTATTGTATGAATGCATTTCCTTACATATGCACCATTGTGTACTCGTCTAATTATTTATTAGGATAGAATTCCTAGATTCAAAAGATACGTACTAATTGCCCAGAAGGTGTTCTTTTCTTTTTTTTTCTCTCCCATCTCTGAGTCTGCTTGCTAGGAAACCAGAAAGGTTTTAACAATTTGTTCTCCCACCAAGGTCTATGAGAATGTCATTTTCCTGCCACCCTCACTAACACCATGCCCTAGTGACACTGGTCTTTCCATTCCTTGACTTACCATGTTTGTCCTGTCTTGATGCATGTCATTGACTATTTCCTATTCCCAGACAGGGTCTGGCTCTATTGCCCAGGCTGGAATGCAGTGGTACAGTCTCAGCTCACTGCGACCTCCACCTCCCGGGTTCAAGTGATTCTTGTGCCTCAGCCTCCCAAGTAGCTGAGATTACAGGCACATGCCACCACGCCTGGCTAATTTTTTGTATTTTTAGTTGAGATGGGGTTTCACCGTGTTAGCCAGGATGGTCTCACTCTCCTGACCTTGTGATCTGCCCGTCTCGGCCTCCCAAAGTGCTGGGATTACAGGCTTGAGCCACCGCGCCCGGCCAGTACATGGATTTTTAATACTTGGTTAATTATTGAATTATCAGCACAGGGAACAGTGTCAGGATACATGGTAATCATTCACTGAGTATTTATTGTATGAATGCATTTCCTTACATATGCACCATTGTGTACTCGTCTAATTATTTATTAGGATAGAATTCCTAGATTCAAAAGATACGTACTAATTGCCCAGAAGGTGTTCTTTTCTTTTTTTTCCTCTCCCACCTCTGAGTCTGCTTGCTAGGAAACCAGAAAGGTTTTAACAATTTGTTCTCCCACCAAGGTCTATGAGAATGTCATTTTCCTGCCACCCTCACTAACACCATGCCCTAGTGACACTGGTCTTTCCATTCCTTGACTTACCATGTTTGTCCTGTCTTGATGCATGTCATTGACTATTTCCTATTCCCGAATACTCTCCTGCCACACCTTTATCTGGTTTAATTCTTCTTCTTATTTAGGATTCACTTGAAGTGTCACTTCCTTGGAGAAGGCCTTGCCTGGCCATCTGCTGTAAAGTAGCCTCTCAGTCACTCCATATCACATCCCTGTATTTTATTCTCATTACAGCATGGATCACTTCCAAATGTTTTCTTATTTGTGTATTTATTTGTCTATGCTTCGTTTTTTCCAAAATGTCAGCTTCATGAGAGCAGGAGTCTTGTCTTTTTCAACGCTATCCACACTATCTGCAGTAAATGTGTGTTTGATAGTAGAATCAATATGGGATCTTATTTTTTTCATTATTATCAATTTGCTAGGTGAAAATGGATATAACGTGAATTATTTTCTGGATTCAAGTGCTGAGGTGATCTAGAAGTTTAAATATTCTGTTAGCATGTTTGTTTTAGATATATAATCAGATTTTTATATTACTGATAAACTGCATAACTTCTCAAGTTTCTGAAGCCTCTTTTCTCATTTTTGCCAACATTTTGCAAAATTTGGACTCACGTACTGTTGTTTGTTTTTTGTCTCCACAGCTTTTGGAAAGAACAAACAGTGGGTTTGAAGAATCAGATTCTGGTGCTACTAAGAGTCCACTCCACTTAGCTGTAAGTGAGATGCCATGAGGAAGCTTCACCTGTTACAAAAAGAACCTAAGCATTCCTAAAACTATACTGCTTTTAAAACGTAAGCGTAGTAACACAGTGATGAGTGATAATGAAAGTAGTCCATAGTTAAAGGCACAGGCTGTGGAGAGAGACTGCCTTGCCTTCCAATCCCAGTTTCATCTGCTGGTGATCTTAGACACATGACTTACCCTATCTTGAGGCTCGGTTTCCCCATCTGTAACATGAGGGCAAACGAAAAGAGATAATGCACCTAAAGCCTTACCCTTTATTCTTGTTATAAAGTTTAACAGTCTTTAAAATTCAAAGGATACATTTCAGTTTAAGAGATTTGATTAGAGATAACAATATACAAGTGGAAAACCTATGGCTCACTGAATACCACAGTTAAAAACTTGCAGGATGTTCGAGCACAAACTGATGAGAGCAAGATGAGCACATGCAGAGCTGCAGCTGCGACCTTCTGCCTGCACTTGAAATCAGGGTCTCCAAGGAAGTCTGAGGCTCTGATTCTTGTACTGGATGAGATCTGGGAGGTGAGGGAAGAGGTATTTTCTCACCAGTAACACTTCCTCTCCTCATCCCAGTAACTGAAGGCAAATGCAACAGCTCAGAGTGATGATCCCCAGACTCTTCATGGGCGTGACCAAGGTGCGAAGTGCACCCACCACTCTGTCTCAGATGGTGACCTGCTAAGAGTTGGCCACCAGCAGCTGCTCCCTAGGAACCCTGCTGACTGGCAGCCACACCCCGCAACAGTCAGCTCACCTGCCCAAGCGCTCACGTGCCCTTGGTGCTGCTGAATTGTGAGGCCACAAAGATGGTGTTTGGATGCTTCTTTGCTTAGTAAAACCCAGGGGCAGGACGCCGAGAAGAATGGGGTGGGGCTGGGTCTCTTTGTTTAACTGTGTTTATGACATTTCACTTAATGCCATATGTACATAAGCACTTCTTCAGTGTCGTTCTGATGAAAAATTGACATGGAGATTTTGGAGAGAAGAGAGGAGTGTTTTGTTAATTGACATGCAGAGGTGGTCAGGCAAGGAGAGAGGAGACAAGGCCATCACACAAGGATTGGGAGTATCCAGAACTGACCATATGTGCGGAATCTTCCCTTCACTGCCTGTTTCCCCACATACTCACAGCACACCTGCTGACGACACCCACCAACACACCCACTACACACTCATACACACATGCATTTTGAGTCTAGTGAAATCAGGGTGAAATGTGCATCAGTCTTTGTTCCTGGAGGTGGAAAAGGTGGATGAATAATGGGATATTTATACATATAAAGCTTCATGCCAGTTGGCCCTTAGTACAGGTTGCTTGCTAGAATCCCTGCCCAACCATTTGCTGTGCCTAGGGAAGTTGCCCCAAAGCTAAGCACTCACAAACATTCTCTAGGGACAGTTAGTGCTATATGGAGGGTTATCTCAGATGCAATTCTCAGGCCCCAAGAAAGTGGGTTTGACTACATTGCCAAGCCTGCTACTAATCTGAGAAGAGTTTCTTGGCTTCCAAAAACTCTATCATCTCTCGTTCCTTTTCTTTTTTTTTTTTTTTTCCACACTGTATTTGTTGAGTGCTTATTGTGTACTCTGCTAAACTCCATGGGTTGCTGGCTGTGTAAAGATAGGGTGCTGATATCATTTAAAAGAGGTGGGCTTTGGTAGTTCTGCAGCTGACAGAGGCCCAGGAAAGATACATTAAGTGGAGGTCTCAGCTGCCATTCTTTTCATTAGCAACTCATCTGGACATGGTTTCCCCACCTGTAAGTTAAAGGAAATGAGTTAAGCATCTCAAAGACCCATTCCAACTTGTTAATTTATTGAATTGTTTATTGTGTGATCTTAACCCAAATACCTCATCTCTTATGTCTCAATGTCCCTACCCATGATATGAGAATAGCAATACCTCATTGTGGAGATGGCATGAGTTAATGGATGTAACACAATTAGAACAGTGCCTGGCACACGTATGTGCCATGAGCTAGCTTCATCGTCATCATTACTAACACCATATAACATCATTATTAACATCATCCTTTCATCCAACATACACTGACTGTGAATAGTGCCAAGCACTGTTTGCGTAGCTGGAGATATTGCAGTGAACAAAACCCCACCTCTGCCCTTGCAGAGTATCCAGTCTAGGGGAGACAAACAGGTGAGGAAATGACAGATGGTAATATGACAGATGGTAATAAGTGCTGCAGATGCTACAGAGAAAATGAAATGGGATCAGGGAGATAGAAAGTATTGAAGTGACAAACAGGATGCTTATTTATTTATTTAAGAGTTGGGGTCTCACTGTGTTGCCCAGGCTGGTCTCAAACTCCAGGGCTCAAGTGATCCTCCTGTCTTAACTTCCTGAGTAGCTGGGATTGCAGGCATGAGCTGCTGCACCTGGCCAGGGTGCTATTTTATGTAGCACAGAATCTCGTATTTGTACAGAGACCTTAAGAGCTACGCATGTTGATATCTAATGAAGGAGTGTTGTGGGCAGAATGCAAAGTCCCTGGGGGAACGCATGCTTGGCATGTCCACAGAACAGGAAAGGGGCCACTGTGGCTGGAGCAGAGTGGTAAGGAGAGAGTAGCTGGGGGCAATGTCTTACATGTTATTGAGGGAGCCAGGAGTTTGGGGGGCCACCACAGATCTCACGGGGACTTTTACTCTAAACAAAATAGAAAACTATTAGGAGGGTTTTGAGGAAACAGATTGGTATGATGTGACTTTTGTTTTAAAAGGATCACTTTAGTTTCTATGTTGAGTCAAAATTCCAAGGGAATGAAAGCAGAAGCAAGGCAAACCAGGCAAGAGATGATGACCATGACTTTGATCAGGGTGATTACAGTGGATTCCTTCTAAAGTCATTTTATTCTTTCTCTCTAAATACTAACACTTAAAACAAATTATTTGCTTTAAGGACTCCACAGGTATGCCCATCACCCTCTCTAGGGGCCTCGGTGGCAATTAACTTGATAAAACCCAAAGCACATAATTTCTTACTTGCTTTGATAAAACCCAAGGCACATAATTTCTTATGTGGAAGCACTCTAGCAGTGTAATGGAACCAGATGCCCCCAAACCTTGACTGCTACCAGAAACCTGACTTGCCTTGAGTTACTATTTCCTGGCTGAATGATTCAAATCTCCAGGGTTATTGGCCCAGTGAATTTCATAAGCATTTCATCCACTTGAAAATATTAAATTAAGAAACAATGTTATGCAAATGAAAGGCTCCAGCTGTCAAGATTTTCAGACAGATCCATTGTTCTCATGGATTCTGTTGAGATCCCAATTCTTTCCCCTCATTGTCCTTAGTTCCTATCTTAAAAGGTCTGGAAAAATTAATCACGTTTAAGAAGTAATTGTTACCTAATAAGGTTTTTTAAAGGTGTTGCTTGAAACAATTTAAAATGTTTAATACTTCTAGTGAAGGCTTTACTTTATGCATAGTAAAATTCAGGAGCTACAAACTAGATAAAGAAACAAAGTGAATTTTGTAGATCACACTTGTCCAACCCCTGGCCAAAGGGTCACATGTGCCCAGGACGGCTTTGATTGCAGCGCAACACAAATTTGTAAACTTTCTTAAAACATGATGAGATTCTTTTTGCGATTTTTTAAAAGCTCATCAGCTATCATTAGTGTTAATGTATTTTATGTGTGGCCCAAGACAGTTCTTCCAACGTGGCCCAGGGAAGCCAAAAGATTGGACACCTCTGCTATAGATAAATCTGGCCTCTCAACCATTCTGTCTTTAAGAGGGTTTTCAAGTGCCTGCTATAGAAGAAAGTATGGGTTGAAATTTTAAAGTTTTCCTAATTGCCAGCATGGTTCACTCCATTTGATTTTAGTATTTGGTCTCTTTAACTTAAGCAAGTTAAGTCCAAGTTTAAGTGACAGACTCAAGCCTGGAGTCAAGTGTCGTAGCCTGATGTACACACTGATGTAGGCCCTCCTCTTATCTCAAGTTTTACATGAAGTGCTCCTGAGTTGGCTTAAAATCACCTGTGTGGCTGGGTGTGGTGGCTCACGCCTGTAATCTCAACACTTTGGGAGGGTAAGGCAGGTGGATCCCTTGAGTCCAGGAGTTTGAGACCAGTCTGGCCAACATGGTGAAACCCCATCTCTACTACAAATACAAAATTAAAATTAAAATAAAAAAGACTAGCTGGGCATGGTGGTGTGCACCTGTAATCTTATCTGCTGGGGAGGCTGAGGCAGGAGAATCGCTTGAACCCAGGAAGCGGAAGCTGCAGTGAGCCGAGGTGGTGCCACTGCACTCCAGCCTGGTGACAGAATGAGACTCCAGCTCAAAAAAAAAAAAAAAAAAAGAAAGAAAGAAAGAAAAAAGAAAGAAAGAAAAAAGAAATCGCCCTGCCCTGAGCTGTTCATGACCCAAACTGTGTGAGAGGTATATGGCAATTCATTATACCATCCTCTATTATTTGCTTATGTTTGGAATTTCCTGTAATAAAAGGTTAAGGGAACATGTAGCCTATGGTCATGTTGCGCCCTTTCCATATTCGCTAGTGAAAAGCCTCACAGCTTGGGCTCCGGGAGTCAGCCTGGTCCACCTTTGAAACCCAGCTCCTCCACATTAGGCTGTGTAACCATGGGAGAACTGGGTGTCATCTCTGCCCTTCTGTGTCATCCTGGGCAAAATGGGAATAACAGGAGCAAAGCATGGGTTGTTATGAGAATTCAGTGAGGCAATGCATGCCCAGTACTGCCTGACATACAGCAAGTGCTCCATAAAAGTTAGCTATTGCTTCAGAGTTTGGGTTAGAATAGAGGCTTGCTATCCTGTGCAGCTATGGTTTGCATAACAAGTACAGATAAGAAAGTTAGACATACGTATTAGCAATGTATTTTACAAATGTATTCTCCTGTCTCAAGCCAGGCAGTGTGTGTAGTAGAAGAGCATGAGTCTAAAGGTTAGTCCCGGAAGTGTACCTTCTCACTTCATAGCTCCGCTCAAGCCACTGCATTTCTGTGTTGAGCCTTCTATAGAAAGGGTTTAGGTTTCTGATTCAATATTTGTTATTCAATTCTGTCACCATTATTTTGTCTCTATTCCACATAGAGACAAGACTATCTTGTTTGGAAGTCAACTAAATGGAGTTACTGGGGAAAATTGTAAGATGGCGCCTAAAAGCATGAGTTTTAGTAGTGACAGATTCTGGGTTCAGAATCCTGATTTTATCACTTACTTACTAAGTGATTTTGGACAAGATAATTAACATTGCTTGTTTTGGTTTTTTCATCTATAAGAAAAGATGTTTGGAATTCATGTTAAAATGTTTGAAATAGTGCCCAGCACATAAAAAACCCTCAAAAAATAATTGCTATTTAAAAAATATGTTTCTACCACAAATAGTAATAAATATAGTAGTCATTATATTCATTCATTCATTCATTCATTCATTCATTCATCAAATAAGTGTTGAGTGTCTCCTGTGTGCCAGGCATGATTCTAGAATACAGCAGGAACAACCCACATTAAGTCCCTTCAATCACAGACAATAAGCAAATCAATAGATATGTAACAGATATCCATTGATATCTGTTTTGTGCTATGAAGCAGAAGAAAGCAGGATTAGTGGGGTGGAGAGTATCTGGGGGTATGTGTGAGGTGGAGGGCAGAGCCTATTTTGTATTTTACATGGGCTCCTCTGGGAAGCCCCCCTGATAAGGTGATATTTGAGCAGAATTACTGGGAGAGCTTTCCAGACAGAGGGAGCAGAAAGTACAGATGCAGTGGCCCAGAACAGGACATGCAGCTATTTAACTAGAGAGGGAGGCTGGTGCAGCTGGAACAAAGTGAGTGAGGGGACATGCTGAAGCTGAGGGGAGTGGGAGGCCAGATTCTGGGGGCCTGATCGGTCGTGGAAAGTTTTGGATGTTGGTATCAGTGAGGGAAGACGTCATAGGCTAGTTTTAAGCAAGGACGGATGTGACCCAACTTGAATTTAAAATATTTCACCCAATGGTTGCATTAATAACAGATTGCAATGGGACAAGGATAGGAAGGGAAGCTTTTGCTGTAATCCTGACAAAACAAGTTGGTGATGCAGTGAGAAGTAGACAGATTCTGGATGTATTTTAAAGATAGAATAGAAATGATGAGCCCTGAAATTGGCATTGACACAGCACTTTGTGAGAATTAGACCAGATTCCTTCCAGATACCTGAGAACCTAATGACACCTCTGTGTGAGTTCGCAAATGTGTCCCTTGCTTTCACAGACACTTCCCTATACTAGGGCAGCAAGGAGGGGAAGGGCTATTTTTCAACACCCATTGGCCCTATTATCCCAGAGCCCTTCCTTGTTCAAGGCAAAACTCTGGGTTTAACAGTAGGGAAGACAAAGACAACTGTAAGGTTTGGGGCCTGAACAACTAGAAGAATAAAGTTGCCATTTACTGAGATGGTAAAGGCTGCAGATGGAGCAAGTTTTGGGAGGGAGATTTTGGTTTGAGATGCCTATTACACATTCAAGTGGGAACATCAGTAGGCAGTTGAGAAGTCAAGGGAGAAGTGGGACTGGGATATACTTTTGGGATTCATCAGAATGAGTTGTTATACTACCGGTTATAAATGATATATAGGTTTAATATGTAACATAATCAAAATCATTCACAAAAATAATGTAATGAGAAAAAAATGTTTAATGTATCTGTACTCTTAATTCTTATGTCTCCTTTTCAATCCAGTTTTGTTATTGTCATTGTTAACACACACTCAGGAAGAAACATTCAAATCATATTTTAAAAGATAAGGTAAAATAAGTCCATGTGTTTATTACCCTACTTCCTGGTTGTAGAGATAACTACCATTGATAGCTTCTTTTGTATCTTTGTACAAATCTTCTATGAATATAGAAGTCTATATATATATGATATATTTGCTTTGTATATAAATGAGGTCATGCTTTACGTATTGTTTGCAACTTCGTTTCTCTTTTTAAAAAGTTTGATAGATTGTGTTAAACCACCCTCCACAAATGTCACACCAATCTATACTCTCACCAACAGAGTGTGTGATTGCTTTTTTCAGTGTCTTACCTAATACTGGGCATGACCAAACTTTAATCATTGCCAATCTGGTAGTTGAAAAATCGTACTTTAAAAATTTGCTTATTTCTTCACATATTCACATATTTATTGACCTTTTATATTTCTTTTTCTGTGAGCTGCCTTTTCATGCCTTTTGCATATTTTCCTAGTTTTTAAAGTGGTTTCCAAGAGTTATTTATATATTAAAGAAATTAGTCTTTTGTCTATGCTGAGCCTTTTTTCAAACAAATTGTGTCTTGAGTAATAGCTGCAGTAGAAAAATAAAAAGTGCAGGTGACATAAGAGGAGATTTGGTTGCTGAAGACACTAGAATCAGGCTTTTCTTCTTCTTCTTTTTTTGAATTCTGAGTTTTTGTTTTTCATTTGAAGGTAATCTTAATGCTATTAAATTCACAAATATGCTAATTTAAATACCCAGTCCGATTTATCTAAAACACACATTGCAAACATACTAATATCTGTTCTCTCCACTTGTCAGTGCCCATTCAAATCATGGTTTGGAAATGGGGAGAATAGATTCCCTTTAAACTGTAAGTCAGCAGTTGTTTCTTTACAGTTAACTTTAACACAATTCATACAAAATAGTAATTAACAATGATCTTCTTTACTTGTTAACTCACAAGGAAACACCTTTGAAACTGCATTTTGTTAAAGTTTCTGTACTAAAGTGTAGAAAAACGGAACTACACAAATATTGAAAATATAAAATGCCTTAATTTTTTAATCCTCATACCACTACCCCAATTTATAGGACAATATACCTAGTGTAATTTGAAAAGAAAAAGAAAAAAATAAAGCTACAGCAAATAAAAGACCTCAGGAATGTATATCTAAATGGTATTACATTGCATTAATTAATAGCTGGACTTTTTGCAAACTGTGGCTGTGATAGTCCTGCACAAGAAGGGTTTCCTGCTTAAGCTGCAGTAACTTTTCTGACTATGGATGATCATTCCTTCTGTGGCAGATTTTTACCATTCCTCTAATGCATTTGGGAAGATTGTCTCAAAGTAACCTGCAGCTCTCCTGACAACTCCTCGCTCTCTCTCCTGCTAAGAACAGTAGCCCTTTTCTGTTGTTTTTAGAAACTTCTACTACCATATCCACTACTCCTCCACCAGATCCATAACCACCACCATAGGGACTGCCTGAGCTTCTTCCACCGAAACTACCCCCTTTCATGGATCCAAAATTTGATTGCTGTCTCCCACTATAATTTCCAGAATCATTATTGTTCCCACCACCACCATAGGTACCACCACCAAAGTTTCCTCCTTCATTGTAACCATCATATCCCCCACCACCGTATCTAGCCCCTTGGTTTCTATATCCTGGTCCACCACCACCATAGCCCCCTCTACCACTAGAACCAGGACCACCATCGTAGGTGCCACCATCACCTCCAAATCCATTACACCCACCAGCACCTCCTCCATAACTGTCTCTGCTGCCACCAGCTTCACCACTATAGCCTCTTCTTCCACCAAAGTTTCTACCACAGCCAAAATTACTTCCTCCACCTCCAGAGTTTCCTCCACCACCCATAAAATTGCCAGATCCACCTCCACAACCTCTCTGCAATCCAGCAGACCACATCTCTTGTATAGAATGGGCCTCTTTCACTTCCCAGTTATGCCCATTAATATTGTGGTATTTCTGAATGACAGTTTTATCAACTGTAGCATGATCATCAAAAGTTACAAAAGCAAATCCTCTCGTTTTTTCCAATCTGCCAGTCTTCCATAACTTCTATGGTTTCAGTCTTGCCATACCTTTTAAAATGGTCTCTCAAATTCTATTCCTCTATATCTTCTTTAATACCACCAACAAAAATTTTCTTCACTGTTAGCTGGGCAGCAGACTTTGCAGAATCCTCCCTAGAAATAGCTCTCTGGTACCTCTACATGCTCATCAACCCTATGTGGTCAAGCATTCACCTCTTCCACACAAGAGTAGATCACAAAAGCAAAGCCCCAGGAACATTTTGTTTGGGGGTCTTTTATTACCACACAACCTGTGAATGTGCCCCATTTCTCAAAATATTCTCTTAAACTATCACCTGTAGTTTCAGAGTCAGGCCACCAATGAACAGTTTTCTCAGCTGCTCTTGACCATGCCGCCCATCCCCGTTTTCACCCCATATAACCTTAGCTCCCTTCTCTTATTTTCAGTGTACCTTTGCCTGTGTGTGGAGTGGTGGGGGCGGGGAGGTGCTAATACATTTTTAAACTTACAGACGCAATAAAAATTATCTTTCAGACTTCTGGTATGAAGTCTCTTTTTTTGTTGTTTTTTTTTTTGGAAACAGAGTCTCACTCTGTCACCCAGGCTGGAGTGCAGTGGCATGATATCAGCTCACTGCAACCTCTGCCTCAGGTTCAAGCAATTCTCCTGCCTCAGCCTCCTGAGTAGCTGGGATTACAGGCACCCGCCATCACACCTGGCTAATTTTTGTATTTTTAGTAGGGATGAGGTTTCACTATTTTGGCCAAACTGGTCTCGAATACCTGACCTCAAGTGATCCACCTGTCTCAGCCTCCCAAAGGGCTGGGATTATAGGCGTGAGCCACTGTGTCTGACAAGCCTCTTAATCTTAACGTAGCTTAGGACCTCATAAAAGGTCTGAACTTAGTGCTGCTACATGGAATATATTTCCATAATTGTTTCTATAATGAAATGCTTTTCATTATAATCAAGGGAAGAAATAAAGGAGAAAAGCACTAGCTACATGCAAGATATTATGCAAAGCCTATGCAATTTCATCTTCACAGCAACCCTAGGAGGCAGCTCTGATTACTCTCATCTTATAGAGGAAGAAACAAACTCTAAGAGAAATTAAGAAACTCACCTAAGGTCACACAGTTAGGAATTAGTAAAGAGTTGGCCTATAACAGAACGTCTATATGCCTCTGTTGTATCTCGAAGTCCATATGTTTTTAGTAATTTTTTTCCCCAGGTTTGTTATCAGAAAAGACTCCTGGAAAAAAAATTCTGATTATGCCAATGTGTTTAGGACTGAACCGACAGGTAAAAGAATATGGTAATTCATTCAGCTGTTAGTTTATATTAGACAATTAGATCAGTAGATATAAGAATACATTAATACATTCAGTGCCTTTGGAGCAAATTATGTGACAAAAGAGAACATGAAACTCATATGGAACTATGAGGTTTGTGTGTTATAGTGTTTCAGTCTAACTCTCCAGCTTGCCTGTGTTTTAATAATTATTCCAAGTGTTTTTCTGACATGCTCTTGGGAGTGCTCTCTATCCATGGCCCAGGAAGCCCAGCCCCTCCTGTGGATTGTGGCGGGATTTGAGGTGAGAGAGCAAGCATGGGAGCCATTGGTTTCTTCTTTGCAGGCCTACAATGGGCACCATCAAGCCTTGGAAGTCCTTCTGCAGTCGCTGGTGGACCTGGACATCAGGGATGAGAAAGGCCGCACTGCTCTGGATCTGGCTGCCTTTAAAGGACACACAGAATGTGTGGAAGCACTTATCAATCAGGGCGCGTCCATCTTTGTGAAAGACAATGTAACCAAAAGAACCCCACTTCATGCCTCAGGTAGGTCTTGTCAAGGATCCGATTACCCTAGTTCTGTGGCTTGTTCATAAGTTTTAATAGAAGGAAAGCAGCATCTTCTTTCATCCCAGTTTTTAAAATAATATCAATTTTCTTTCCACATGGGACATACTTCCACACTTCCAAAATGCTTTTGGCCTGCTATCCTCTTGGAGGTGATTGATGTTCTCTGGCCAGGTGCTCTGGCCTTCTTAACTCAAAGGAGAGTTCAGAACTTTTGGCTAAAAGCTACCACAAAACATTCTGAACAAAGGGCAAGGTGTAATGCAATCTTCAGAATAAGTTACATAGAACAAAACACATCAAAATCAAACAGTATTTGAAAGCACAAAATCAATAGCAGGTTTTGTGGCTATTTCATATTCATATTAATGTATTCAGGGCTATTTCATATAAGGAATCATAAGGCAGCAATCTAATCAGTACATCATTCTGCCAGCCTAAATGATGTTACTTAGCTTTTTTTCACATCGATGTAAAAATCAAGATGCTTTAAAAGCACATGTATATATCAAAAAGGAAGTCATTTGCCTTTTCTGAGATTTTCTCCCATGCCCATGACAAACTGTGTCAGGACACTTCTAGATATATACACAGACATAAGGGTAATATGGAAGGTCTAGCTCAGCTAAGGCATAGATACCTTTGAGCTCAGAAAATTCAGTGATATCAGCCTTTGATTAGGGTAGTGGATAACATTTTGTAAAGAGAAATAACTGTCTTACTTGGTGAAATGGGTGTATTGAGGAAGCAAATAAGTGAAGATACTTTTTCAAAAAAGACTTTATGATTCTTGTTACTTGGGAAAATTTTCCCAGAATGATAGACCTTGTAGAACCATTTCCATCTATGTTCCTGAATTTCCAAGCCACTGAAGAAAAACAATACAGAGGTTGAAAAAACCTGATTGTTGCCTATTTACTTGGAAATGATTGTTGCTGGAAAAAAAAAAACTTTAGCCATAGGGTTAGTAATAGTTGGTGTGGTTGAATTATAAATTCTTATTTCTCATCCCATTTGGTCTTTTTGCTCCGCAGCCATTCTTCTTATTATTATAAAATTCAAATTGTATCCTCCTTTTTTAAAGATTAGTTGCCTATTATTAAGAGAAGCATCCTATTTTCGTTATTATATAATTCCTGACAATAACAAAGGGCCTACTTTGATGGTGGAAAATCACCCTTATAAACAGGTAAACAATGAAGAACAAGCATTTACACTCATTTGCCAGTGTGATATGGGTTGTGGTCCAATGAAGCCCCCTAGTGGTCAAGAAGACTCACTCAGCTTGAATTTTCCTCCTCTCATTCATTAAAAAGACACTGTCACCAGACCGTTCACAAAATGTCTACTGTGCAGAAGCTTTAGCGTGTGCTTTGAGGATCTGCTTACCCAAAATCTTTTTCAACTCTTTTGAGAGGCGATATTTTGAGTTTCAAATCCTCGGAGCACTATGAGGAGCAAGAGCCAGGATGAGTATCAGAGGTTTTGGCACAGATAGTGGGAGTGACAGCTGTAGTCTCTGAGTCGTGTGAAAAATGGTTTTCACTCACAGCCAGGGAGAGGCTGAGCTGGTCTGAGAAAAAGCTGAACTTGGCAGCAGAGCTAAAGATGTTCGCATCTTTTTGCTACAAGACAATTTGGGGGAAAAAATGTAGTGTGTAGGAAGCCAATGAGAATTTAAGTTTGGCTACAAACTTCAGGGGAACTTAAATTTCCCTGAGGGACTGGGCGTGGCAGTTCATGCCTGTAATCCCAGCAGGAATTCCAGACCAGTTTGGCCAAAAAGGTGAAACGCCGTCTCTAATAAAAATACAAAATTAGCTGGATGTGGTAGTGCACATCTGTGGTCCCAGCTACTTGGGGTGGGGGTGCTGAGACAGGAGAATCGCTTGAACCCGGGAGGCAGAGGTTGCAGTGAGCCGAGATCATGCCACTGCACTCCAGCCTGGGCAACAGGGCGAGACTCTGTGTGAAAAAAACAAAACAAAACAAAACAAAACAAAAACACAACTGTAGAAACTGTTTTGCTGTCTAACACATTGGGTGATATGAAGTAAGATAATTTTTTTCTTCTTATGTTTAGCCAAGTATCAAATGTCACTTGCACTATTGTGATTATGACTATTTAGAGTATTAAGTTGCTACAGAAAGAGGAACCAGTCAAAATATGCTGTTTTTCCATCTTCATGAGCTTGCCGTCTGCAGTATTTAGCTGTCAGTCCTTTGCCAGTCATTTCCTTTTAGCCATACATTAAACTTCTTGCCTATTTCACCAATGGTAGCAGATTTAGTGTAATTGTAAGAACAAAAGACATAACAGCAGCAGCAACTACATATTACCTGTACTCCAATCCGCAGAATTTCCTCCCGAGATACACAAATGGAATGTTGCTGAGAATGAGCTAAATGCAATGGTCTACAAAATGCGCATATTATTCCTGTAGTTCATTTGGGTGCTGTTGATGAATGCAAGCTAATTCTAATATGTATGTATTGTCCCTGAAAAAATGTATCATTGTTAAATTAGCATTCTCTCGTGGCTGGCAAGCAAATGAAAGGTCTGTAAAATGCAGCTCTTAGGAGAGTCTTTATCAGCCTCACATAGTGGCGTCTATTCCCTTCTGTCTCCACATCCATAATGTGGCAAATGCCAATGTACTGTCATTGTTAGAGAGGAGAGAAGGTCACATTTGGAATTTTAACCACGGTTGCTCTCATCTTACTCCCTGAGTGGGAAGCGATGCCTATCATAAGGCTTTGGTTTCCATTCAACAGCCTGGCAGAAAGCAGCTTAGCCGGAGGTGATCGTCACAGGTTTGCTTCCCAGCCCCTGTGTGACCACAGCCTTCTAAAGCTGCCTGGTACTGGTGTGCACAGGAGTGCGTCCCGTGCTCCCGCCCCAGCTGGTCCAGGCCGGCCCCGCGTGGGGGCCGCATTTCCTGCCCACATTGGCACCCACTCAGTCCGCTGGATGAGGAGAGGCAGGGGGAGGCCTGACCTGGCCTAGGAAAGGGCTCCCAGGGAGCCCAGTCACACCCCAGCCGGGCACAAGGACGCCTGGGAAGTCAGAGAAAGCGCCGGCTGTGGTTCCGGGACCGCAGGGCTGAGGGACCTTCACTCAGCAGTGAGCGAATGGAGCGTGCACAACCTGCCAGCGTGAGGTTTTGTTTTCTGCCACCACCCATCCGTCAGGGCTATTGCAGGAATACCTCTTCTGAATATCTACCTCAGAATGTAAAACGACCTGGGAGAAGAGGCAGCCCCACCTCCCTCCTCCCTTCCCTGCTGCCCCTCTCCCCTCTTCCCTCCACTTCTCTCCTTCCTTCCTCCCCTCCCTCCTCCTCCATCCTGCTCCTGCTCCCCTCATCTCCTTCCACTCCCTTCTCTCCCTTCTTCCTTCTTTTTAAAAGCGTTGGAGGCAGGGTAGATACAGGATGATTATATGGAATTTGGTGACTCAGAGGAACAAAAAGGGGAGCTGACTAGTGGGGAGAGATTATTAGTCCCCTGACAGGAGATAAGAAAGGACCCTAAGTGTAAGAAAAAACCCTCAACACAGGAACTAGAAAAGGAATGTGGGGATCAAAGCACCCTGCTGGGAAGAAGGGGGAAGACAGATTAACACAGAGGCACTCTGCCCAAAACTACCTTGAGCTAGAAGCTGAGGGGGATCCAGTGGCAACAATGGAAAACCACTGATTTGAAGTCTAAATAAATGTTACTTGGGGCCAGGCACGGTGGCTCATGCCTGTAATCCCAGCACTTTGGGAGGCCGAGGCAGTCGGATTGCTTGAGCCCAGGAATTCAAGACCAGCCTAGGCAACATGGTGAAACCCCATCTCTACTAAAAATACAAAAATTAGTGGTGGTGCATGCGTATAATCCCAGCTACTTGGGAGGTTGAGCAGAAGAATCACTTGAACTCGGGAGGGGGTGGTTGCAGTGAGCCAAGATCATACCATTGCACTCCAGCCTGGACGACAGAGCGAGATTCTGTCTCAGAAGGTCACTTGGTGGCTCACACCTATAAGCCCAAAACTTTGGGAGGCCGAGGCTGGTGGATCACCTGGGGCTAGGATTTCAAGACCAGCCTGGCCAAGATGGTGAGACCCTGTCTCTACTAAAAAGGCGTGGCAGTTCATGCCTGTAATCCCAGCTACTCAGGAGACTGAGGCAGGAGAATTGCTTGAACCTGGGAGGTGGAGATTGCAGTGAGACGACATTGCCCCACTGCACTCTAGGCTGGCAACAGAGCAAGACTCCATCTCAAAAAAAAAAAAAAAAAGGTCACTTGGGAGAGATATGTGTAGTGTTGTTCTGTTAAAAGACTGTACACTGTTTTCTTTTTCAGTAATTAATGGTCACACACTGTGTTTACGGCTGTTGCTGGAAATTGCAGACAACCCGGAGGCGGTCGATGTGAAAGATGCCAAAGGACAGTAAGTGCGCTCACACGTGGCCTTGGGTTGACATTTCAATCACAACAGCTACCTGGTTGGTTAAATCATTACAAGGCTGACTGTGGAACTGAGAAGTTGGGGTAATATATTTGGGCCAGGACCCTGGACTAATGAGGTGGCTTTAAGTTACAGTGTGTATATCCAAGAAAAGCATGAAGGGGTGGGTGTGCACATGTCTTGATGAAAGAATCACCTTTTTAAGGGCTGTGGCCATGTTTCCCAGCTCTTATTTATATTCTCTCCTTTGTTCCCTCTTTCCGCCCATTTTTACCCTCTTCTGAAGCTGCTACACCGTTGCCATTTTCTAATTAATAAATAGGACAGACCTCATGAGGTTATCTCTATTACTGAAATCCTTCAGATGTCTTTTCTTCCTCAACTTTGTTTTTTCAAAGTAATTTCCTTCTGTTGGCGTATTCCCCACCTAATCTTCTCTTACAAATAGGAAGTGCAGAGCAAAAGTCAGCAGTGACTAGCCCCAGGCATGTGAATTAGTGTCATAGTCAGAATCTCACCTCCCTCTTGCATCACAACACTTCATTCTTTCCCTGAGACTTGCTAGACTTTTCTTTAGGGAAAGAAGCTTTGTTTAAATGAAATCTTTAGCAGAAGTCCAACATAGAATACCACAAAGTAGAGCTGCTCTGATGGAAGCAGGATGGGCTTCTGCATACACATTCTCCCTGCCCTTGATATCTAGTAAATGCTACATGGGTCTGAAAATGATGGGATTAACATGAATATTTTGAAAAGGAAGCTTCCCCTGTCTCATCGCTAGGGATCATTCCACCAACAACATTCCATGTGGCCATTAGAGCAGAGGCAGATAGCTTGTTCTGCATATTGTATAGCAAACTGGGGATGCTCCGAAATTATTGAGCAATTGTTAAGAGGAGAGGGGAAAAGAATGAGAGAGAGAAAGAGAATGTCCTCCTACCGGTAGTGATGAATATTTTTTTTAATCTCCTTTTTAAAAGCCTACTTTATCTCTCTGCCTAGAACACCACTGATGCTTGCAGTAGCATATGGACATATTGATGCTGTTTCGTTGTTACTTGAAAAGGAAGCCAACGTAGACACTGTTGACATCCTAGGATGCACAGCTTTACACAGAGGGGTATGTACATCTTTCTCAGCTGTAGTCAAGCCATTTTTTAATGAGCTTGTTTTCTTTTTTTTTCCTTCTATGAATTTTTAGCAAAAAGGCTGTTTCCTAATATAACCAATTAACCTTATTCAGTCCAAAAGAAATTACAAAATCCTTGGCAAAGGCAAAATAATGGAAGGTTTTGCTCTTAAGATTTCATGTTAGATTGTGATAATAGATGCACGAACACCTACTGTTGGTGAAATTGGTTCTGCTTTCTGACTACAAAATACATGTATATCATAGAAAATTTGCAGAATTTTTTTTTTAAAGCCCGGAGAAGAAAATCACAATCACCAGTAATCATACCTCCTGGAGATAACCACTTTTTGGTGTATATTATCTCCAATCTTCTTTCTATATATAGATTTGTTTTAGATTTTAAAGAGAGAATACTGAAGATGTCATTTGGAATGTGCTTTTTTCTCTTAGTATATCAAGGACCTTTTTACATGTCACTTTTTTCTGCATCATGATTTTTAATGCCTCATTGTGTTCAAGTGTCATAGTTTATTTCAATGATTACCTGGTTTTAAGTAGTTAAGCTATTTATAATTGTTTGTCCTTACAAATAATGCCAAAATATGTATCCTATGGACAATTATTTGCACACATCTGTTGAAGTGTTTTTTTTTTTTTTTTTTTTTTTGTCTCACTCTTATCACCCAGGCTGGAGTGCAGTGGCATGATGTCTCACTCTTATCACCCAGGCTGGAGTGCAGTGGCATGATATCAGCTCACTGCAACCTCCACCTCCCGGGCTCAAGCGATCCTCCCACCTCAGCCTCCCCCCAGTAACTGGTACCACAGGTGCATGCCAGCATGCCCAGCTAACTTTTGTATTTTCTGTCGAGATGGGGTTTCGTCATGTTGCCCAGGCAGGTCTCGAACTGCTAGGCTCAAGTGATCCTCCTGCCTCCACCTCCCAAAGTACTGGGATTACAGGCGTGACCACTTGCACCTGCTGAACTGTTTTTTAAAGCATGCCAAATAAACTAAGTGAATACAAGCAGAAATCATACAATTGCTGTTTTGGGCTGGTACCAAGCACACTGATAAATGAAGAGAAGAGGAACACTACGTGATCATTGTCACAATCATAGTTTTTATTTCTCGGTTGCTTCCTGTAGGCTGTACAACAAGCTGAGAGCCTTTGCATCTGTTATCTCAGTCCTCACAACACCCTGTGAAGTTGTTATTACTATTCTTATATATAGGTGAATAGAGTGAGGGATGGAGAGGCGAACTGACCTGTCACAGGGGTGCCAAGATTTCACTTAGACCTTCCTGATTCTAAAACTGATGTTTACCACTGCATCATGATATCTTTCTTTTCTTTTCTTTTTTTTTTTTTTTTCCCTGAGACAGAGTCTTGTTCTGTCGCCCAGGCTGGAGTGCAGTGGTGCAATCTTGGCTCACTACAAGCTCCGCCTCCCGGATTCACGCCATTCTCATGCCTCAGCCTCCTGAGTAGCTGGGACTACAGGCGCCCGCCACCACGCCCGGCTAATTTTTTGTAATTTTTTAGTAGAGACGGGGTTTCACCATGTTAGCCAGGATGGTCTCGATCTCCTGACCTCGTGATCTGCCCTCCTCGACCTCCCAAAGTGCTGGGATTACCTGGCCACATCATGATATCTTTCATGGTTGTCAGGAAAGGCAAGAGATGTTTGGAAAATGCTGATGTTCACAGATTTTTCTGTTATGAATTTTGCTGAGGTTGTCCTGACTTCTGCCCTTGAAATAATACAGAGTCTGCCTTCCTTAAAGACCCAGGCATATGTCCACTTGCTCTAAGCCCAGCCTCACTTAGCCAACTGCTTTGCTTCCTTAGTCTTCTGAGGTTTGTTTTGTGTTTTTAATTGCAATGCATCAGATTATGACAGGACACGAGGAATGTGTGCAAATGCTGCTGGAACAAGAAGTGTCAATTCTCTGTAAAGATTCCAGAGGGAGGACGCCCTTGCACTATGCAGCTGCTCGTGGCCACGCCACGTGGCTGAGCGAGCTGCTCCAAATGGCTCTTTCTGAGGAGGACTGTTGTTTCAAAGATAACCAAGGCTACACGCCGCTGCACTGGGCTTGTTACAATGGTGAGTTGCTTATCATTTGACAGATTCCACTAGACTTCCTACCCCATGACCCCTGTGAGCTCAGTGGAGGTGACAGCCTTGTGTAATTCTGCAAACCGTGGCTTCTAATCTTTCTGCATCCAAGATATCTTTTTTGTGTATTTTGTTTGTTTGTTTTTTTAATAGTTCTCACCCCTTCACAGCTGCTGTGATGCCTTGAGTAAAAGTTCACTTTCCCCTTTTAGTTAATCATTAACACATAACCGTAATCAGAACTGATAAGCTTAAATGACCAGTTTTATTCAGAGTTTCTGATCTATGTAATATAACCAGGGATCCCACAAGAGATTAAAATAATAAAACTAAAACCACATATATATATATAAAATTTAATAACCTGTCACAATTGATTACTAGTAGATGCATGATTCATCTTTTGGTATTTCTTCGTAATGTTTCATATTCCCCATTTATTTTGTTGTACTTATTATTTGGGAGATTTTAAAATTTATATTTCATTTATTTTAATTTAAAAATGCATGCTAATTATACCAATTCCAACGTACAGAACTATCTGAAGTAAAATTGTTTCCATTTCTAAACCTACTTTCTAATGTAATTTTGTGTATCTCTTTCATAATTTTTTCTTTGAGAATATAAATAATTACAAATGAATATGTATCTATTTTTTGAAACTGGAATTATAGAAAAAATAGCAACCATTCTATAATTTTTTTGTTGGTGTTTAAAATTGTATTGCAGATAGTCTTACAAGTCAATATATATCAATATGGATTGATCTTGTAATAGTTGTATATTATTTCATAGCAATATGTATACCAGAACTTATTATTTATTCAACCAGGTTTCTGTGGATTGACATTCAGATTTTGTTTTTCTTATTACAAACAATGCAGCAATGTGCATGTCCATATTATGGTACCATAAAATCTGTCAGATAAGTTTCCAGAAATAAAATTATTGAGTAAGGGGGCTTATATATTTTTTAATTTTAATAAATTATATTATTTTGCAAAAAGGATATCAAAATTCATTATTCCACCAAACATTTGTATAAAAGTTGGTGTTTTTCCTCACGCTTGCCAACCCAGAATGATATCACCCTTTTAAATTTTTGTCAATTTGAAGGCCAAAAAAGGTATCTTCCTGTTTCAGTTTGCATTTCCCTATCTAATAGTACGCTGGCTATTTGTGTTTCCTCTTCTGGAAATTACTTTTTCCATCCTTTGTTCACTTTTTTCCTATTGAGCTATTTATCTTTTCTCGTATGCTTGTAGGAGCACCTTGTCTTAGTGATATGAATGTGATATGAATGAATGTTGAATGATATGAATGTCTTAGAAATACGAATATTTTTGTTCCTTGTTCAGGATGTTTTTTTCCAAGTAGAGATTTTGAGCTTTTATGTACTTGAATATATCAGATTTTTTATGGTTTCCATGTTTCCAGTCTTTCTTCAAAAGGTCTCCTACCCCTAAGATTATATGGATATTTTCCCATATATTTTTTACTTTGCTTCTATAATTTTATTTTTACATTTTCAGTCAGACAATTAAAATTTTAATTTAGAAACTATTAATAGTTCCACAAAAGGCATTTGTGTGTGTGTGTGTTCTAATTATATCAATTTAAGAACTCTTACTGTGTTTTCATCACAGTCCTCTTTTTTTCATTCATTCTGCCTCAGTAAGAGCCAAATTTTCTATTTCCTCAACTTGGTTTTGTTCCCTTCCTGCCACTGGAGGATAGTGATTTTTTTTAACCTACTAATGGGTGGCCCCCATCTGGGTCAAGCTGTGGGAGCTCTCTGGCACTGGAGAACCTACAAGAGGAGAAGGATGCAGTGAGAGTGCTGATTAAAATGGCGGGCCACAAACCTGATGCAAACCAGATCCTCTCCTCAGGGTTCAGGATGAGACGTGTCTGTGTTCCTAGGCCTCTCCAGGTACAGGCAGGGGAGGAGGAGCAGTCTTCTCCTAAGCCGTTCACACTTTCAGTGCAGCCTTTGTCCAGGACTGAGTTTCAAGCTCCCATCTTCCCAGACTCCTTTTTACTAGGCACTTTGAAATATTGAAAGGAGCTCAGTCATCTACAGTCCTACCTGCACAGACTCTTAAACTAGGATTCATATAGTCCCCACTTAAGGAATGCTATGTGTGGATGCTACCCTAAGCTAGATCCTTTGGAAGAGTTGAGGTGTCTGAGACTATTTGAATGAGGGTTCCATGTAGTTAGTTGGAAGGCTAAATTATACAACTTGCCTGAAGCTGCCAGCTTTTTTTTTTTTTTTTTTTTTTTCCCCAGGGATATATAGAGTCTTACTCTGTCACCCAGGCTGGTGGCGTGATTTCGGTTCACCACAACCTTTGCTTCCTGGGTTCAAGCGATTCTCCTGCCTTAGCCTCCCGAGTAGCTGAGACTACAGACAGGCAGGCACCCCCATGCAGGTCCTTTTTTTTTTGCTAGTAGAGATGGGGTTTCACCATATTAGCCAGGCTGGTGTTGAACTCCTGACCTGAAGTAATCCACCCGCCTCGACCTCTCAAAGTTCTGGGATTATAGGCATGAGCCACCATGCCCAACCACTGCCATTTTTTTAATATTTATTAATTCATATGCTTTTTAATCTGTCTAAAAGCAATATTGCCTTTTCTCTTTTTAGGTACAAGAAAAGTTTGATTTGTAGTTTAATATTTCAAATTGTCCCAGCTACATCATTCTGAGGTAGATCATAAGGGAACTTTCACTAACTTAGCACTGAGTTCAACCGAGAAGAGGTTTCAGGACAATCTGTGTTCCAAAGCAAAATGGCAATGCCTTCCCACCTTATGATTGAGAACCACAGAGACTATTGTTGTTGTTGTTTTTTGTTTTAACCAGGTCTGTAATGAGAAAACGCTTAGTCAGGCTGGGGAACCATCACCCTTCTTCCTGGGAGACAATGCCATGTGGCAAGATCTGTCTTACAATTGTATAGAACGTCACAAACCACACTGAGGCTCTTTATTGAGTAAAGTTCTCACCATCCTGTGACATAGGTAGGGCAGGTATTCCTTGTCCAATTTTGAATATGTGAGAAACTGAGACTCAGAGATCCCAAGTAAATTGCCTCAGATCACATAACAAGTAAGCTGACAGCTAGGACCTTACTTAACTCAAATTCAGTTGATTTGGAAACTACCTACCATTTTGTTGAAAATAATCTCACATATTCATTCATCTACTTATTTGAATAGTGCTTAGTGAATGCCCGTGATGTGCCAAGAACTGTTCTTGGGGTCAATTAAAACACATATAGTATTTTACAGTCAAAACCTTTTCACATGCGTTATCTCAAATACTGTTTTCTACTAATCAGTTTCATGTGTCCGTTAGAATGCATAACTGTAAGTGGAAGTATTTGTATGGGTGAAAGGTACATTTCCTCTTATAAATGTGAACAAATTGAAGCACGCCTATGTGAGGCATCTATCTTTCAAGAGCTGAGAGTAAAACAGAATATATTCTGCTTGCAAATGAGTCATCTTCTCTATCTCTCTTCACCAGACCATATGGCCTTCATTGTTTTATTTGTTCATTAAGTCTCAGAACACCTGTTAACATAGTTAATAACATTTTGGCATTTTGTTAATTTTATTTCTTGGAGAATGAATGTTCAGCCCATTCAGGAAAATTCATAAACCAAAAACTCAATACCTAATGAAAAAGCAGATTGAGTTGAACAAAATTTCTTTCTTGGAAACTCCCTAAATTATTTTTATTTCTTGCAGGTAATGAAAACTGTATAGAAGTACTTTTGGAGCAAAAATGTTTTCGTAAATTTATCGGTAATCCCTTTACTCCACTGCACTGTGCAATGTAAGTAGAAAAGATGAGAGTTAATGGTGTAGCTTTAATTATTTTAACTCCACATAGAAAAGTTGCTTTGAAGGGAAAAAAAGCTTTTAGATTACAGATAAGACTGAAATATTCCATTTTTGCTGCTAAAGACGAGTAGATCTGACAGCAAAATATTAAGGATTTTCCCGGAGCTTTTTATAGAGTGCCACAGTTCCAAAGTGGCACAGATGCCACCCTCGGGAAGTCTCGTGAAGGGGTAAAGTGAGAGGTGCGTTACCCATGTGAAGAACTCTTCAGGTATAACTCACATTTGTCTGCCAAATTCTAAAAATAAGTCAGCGTTGACAATAGTATACCTACAGATGGTTAGAAAGACATTTCACACTAGGACAAATTTTCATATATTGAAATTCTTTATCTTTCATATGTTGTAAGCCCTTTTCTGATAAATCTAATTTTTGCTCCAGTCTCAATAGTGAGCCATTGTTTAGAGGATCCAGTGACTTTAAGTCAGACTTCCATAGTCAGCCTGGGAGTCTGTGTTCAACTGGGCTTCCACGGTTAGCCCGGGGGCCCAAGACCTGAGGACGCTTTGTCTTTACTTTGTCTCTGGCCTTTATATGAAACTGAGTCATTTAATTGGAAAGATATTGGAGGCATAAAGTAGATCAATAAAGAAAGTATAAGTTAAAAAGAGTCAGAAAGATTTTATTTTGTTTATTGCTTTTTGTTTTTTGAGACGGAGTCTTGCTCTGTCGCCTAGGCTGGAGAGCAGTGGCACAATCTCGGCTCACTGCAACCTCCGCCTCCCGGATTCAAGCAATTCTCCTGCCTCAGCCTCCCGAGCAGCTGGGACTACAGGTGCGCGCCACCACACCTGGCTAATTTTTGTGGTTTTAGTAGGGACTGGGTTTCACCATATTGGCCAGGCTGGTTTCGAACTCCTGACCTCATGATCTGCCCGCCTCAGCCTCCCAAAGGTCAGAAAGATTTTAAATCTGAAGGAAGCATGTCTATTCCACTTTGATATCTCCAAAACGCCTAACGTGGTGTCTTGTATAAGTGCAATAAACTTCTACCTGGATATAGAGGTTCTGAAGTAATGCTAGGGGTTACAAAGTGTATGCCAATGAAACATATACCACAAATATTTACGTTCGATTTTTTTAAAATGCTTCGGATTGTCAAATATACAGTACATAGGAAGATGGGTTAGGAGGTGATATAATTTAAAAGAGTGAGATTGTTACATTAAAACCCATTTTCATTTTAGAATCAATGATCATGGGAATTGTGCATCATTGCTGCTTGGGGCCATAGATTCCAGTATCGTCAGTTGTAGAGATGACAAAGGCAGGTAAGTAATCTAAAACGGCATACCTTTTATCTTGATGAATCTTAGCCTCTGCTTTGCAGTTGCAGAGTAGCCAAACATACATGTTTTTAATTGAAAGAATAATGGATAAGCATGGTTTTTAATATTACAGAGGGTGTATAATTAAAAGAAATTTCCCTCTAAGCCTGGAATCCCTAGCTTCTTCCACAGAGAAAGCTACTATACACTGTTATTTACAAATTTTATGTTCTCCTAAATATTTTTTATGCATATCTACAAACATATATACATATGTATGTATATATCCATATATTCTTTTTGTACATGGTAGCATTCTGTAACAATGCTCTACTTTTAGTATATCTTGGAGATCCTTCCATACCATGTTCTTTTTAAAGCTGCATATTATTTCATTGAATGGCTATGCTATAATTTGCTCATCCTGCCCTCCATTGAAGAATATTTAGGTCGTTTCCAATATTTTACTGTTTCAAAGTGTGATGTGGTGAACATTCTCATATATGTATCTGGGCCAGGCACCGTGGCTCACTCCTGTCATCCCAGCACTTTGGGAGGTCGAAGTGGGTGGATCACAAGGTCAGGAGATAGAGACCATCTTGGTTAACATGGTGAAACCCCGTCTCTACTAAAAATACAAAAAATCAGCCAGGCATGGTGGCACATGCCTGTAGTCCCAGCTACTCAGGAGGCTGAGGCAGGAGAATCACTTGAACCCGGGAGGCAGAGGTTGCAGTGAACTGAGATTGTGCCACTGCACTCCAGCCTGGGCGACAGAGTGAGACTCTGTCTCAAAAATAAATAAATAAATAAATAAATAAATAAAACATGTGTCTGTACACATAACCAAGTGTATCTGAGAGATAAAAACCTAGAATTGGATTTATTGGTTAAAGGGTTGATATTTTTTAATTTTGATAAATAATGCCAAATTATCCTTTAAAAGAAATTAAGCAACCACAATAGATGATGTGATGGACTTTTAAAATTTTTATTTAATCTGCCAATTACCTACAGACTTAAGCGTTAATTTTGAAAGTATCTATCTCAAAGATAAAAGTAGACTCACTGGAACTTAAGATTAAAGAGTCAGTAAAGACGCTAATTTCATTATCAGGGCCAACACACACCCCACTCCCACATCTAGGAGTTTCCAGTCCCGTACGTGATACTTCAGTGTCTACCCTGGATGACCTTTAGAGGGAGGGGGCCTGATCACTATGTCTATAAACTGAGAAGTTTTAAATCCTTAAGACAACACCATGTACATGTTTCTTGGGCAGTAACTAATGAGAATGAAGTTTAAAGGAAACTCAAGTGATACTTGTTTTAAATCTTTAGGACACCCCTTCATGCGGCAGCGTTTGCTGATCATGTGGAGTGCTTGCAGCTTCTTCTGAGTCACAGTGCTCCAGTGAACGCAGTAGACAATTCAGGGAAAACAGCACTGATGATGGCTGCTGAGAACGGGCAGGCAGGCGCTGTGGGTATGTGCTTGTTGTATGGGCAAAAACTTTGCCCTTATGCCCATCCAAAAACCAAAATAATATCAAATCAAGAAATCAGTTGTTCTCATAGTATATACATATGGAAAAAGGCCATTAGCAGTTTTACTTAGGTCACCTGATTCTACCTGCTCAAGCGTCTTCAGTTTCTTGTTTTTGATTCTTGGTGGACCTTGTCAAAGAGCCAGCCCTTCTGCAATGAAATTCTCAACATTTAGAAACCAAGTATGACAACATAATCATTTTAACTGGAAATAATGAACTGTAAAAGCAGTTAAAATTAGTGCCTATTAACCTTGAATAGCACAAATATGAAAATAAATTACTCCCTTTTTTCTTTAAAAACATTAAATATGATTACGTGAACTGTACTAATTTAAATATGTTATTGTGTTTGTAGTGACTTCTTCAAAATGCATGTGATCAGCATCTCATCTAATACTCTTTTGGGCTTTTTCTACAGATATTTTGGTGAACAGTGCCCAGGCTGATCTGACTGTAAAGGATAAGGACTTGAATACATCCTTACATTTGGCTTGTAGTAAAGTATGTAATTGAATTTAAAATATTATTACTTCATGTTGTAATAATAACAGTAATAACACCACTGAAATTCTACTGCAGAACTGTGTAGCATGGCTCTTAATTAAGAATGTACATCTTCCCAGGGTCTTGTCAACTGAAAGTGGAATTGAAGGATGAGAAGGAAAGGACAGACCCAATAACCCATTCGTGTTGATGAAGAAGCATATCTTCATCAACACAAATGATGAGAACATGCTTTTCATGGCATCTGCCACTTGCATTCTTGCTGTAGTCTGTCTGTCTTGATGCTGCCATTGTATCTGTCTCTCTGGTTGTTGTACCACATTTTGGTACCTACATAAAAGTTAGGACCTTAGTTAGGTGGCTTGCAAAGTATAAGCAGTTTTACTTGTTTTCATTTTGTTCCATTTGAAGACATTGTAGTAACACAGCCAAAAAATACACTAATGTGAAGCAAATAAACAGATCTATGTGTATGTCTACCCTCTCCTCTTTTTTCTGGTGTATAGTTCAATGCAGAAAAATGTTTTTTTGTTTTTTTGTTTTCAAATAGTGGTGTGTTCACATGTTGCTCAAGATTCCTTCTTCCATAAAAGATAAATTTTAGGCCGGGCACAGTGACTTATGCTTGTAATCCCAACACTTTGGAAGGCCGAGGCAGGTGGATCACCTGAGGTTGGGAGTTCGAGACCAACCTGACCATAATGGAGAACCCCTGTCTCTACCAAAAATACAAAATTAGCCGGGTGTGGTGGTGCATGCCTGTAATCCCAGCTACTCAGGAGGCTGAGCCAGGAGAATCATTTGAACCCGGGAGGCAGAGGTTGTGGTGAGCCAAGATCGCGCCATTGCACTCCAGACTGGGCAACAAGAGTGAAACTCCATCTCAAAAAAAAAGAAAAGATAAATTATGTAAAATTACATATATATATAATTTATCTTTTATGTCATACATATGATTTTACAAAATTTGGTTTTATTGCTGAATCATATAATATTAATATCTTTTAAACATCATGTTTTATGGTATTTTAGATTTGTAGTATTTCAGCTTAGGAATGGGCCATCTTTTATTCAACCCATTTCCTATTATTAGACAAATAGCTTGTTTTCAATTATATGCTAGTACAAGTTCAGTATTTCTTACCTGAAATGGCTGGGACTAGAAGTGTTTCAGATTTAGGAATTTTTTGGATTTTGGAATATTTGTATTATACCTGTTGATTATCCCAAATCCAGAAATCTTAGTGTTATGTCAATATTCAAAAAGTTTTGGATTATGTAGCATTTTTTGTTTCAGATTTTCGAATTTGGTATGCTCAACCTATATAAATAATGCTTATTGCAGAGGAATCTTTTATAAACAACCTTACTCATTACTTTAAGAGACGGAGTCTCACTCTGTTGCCCAGGCTGGAATGCAGTGGTGCCATCTTGGCCCACTGCAACCTCCGTCTCCCAAGTTCAAGCGATTCTCCTGCCTCAGCAGCCCGAGTAGCTGGGACTACAGGCACGCGCCACCATGCCCGGCTAATTTTTATATTTTTTGTGAGAGACGGAGTTTCACCATGCTGGCCAGGCTGGTCTCGAACTCCTGACCTCATGATCTGCCCGCCTTGGCACTCCAAAGTGCTAGGATTACAAGCGTGAGCCACCGCACCCTGCCAGATATAAATATTTTTAGACCAACTTGCCCTCTTATGAGGTCACAACAGTTTACCCTCCAACAGCAGTGCATCAGAATGAAACCTCCATGGATATTTCTAAAATTATATTTAACGGTCTCCCATATAAGGCATTATAGTATGACGCCAGTTAGCACCCATGGCGGTGATTTATTTCAGTGTAGTTAAAATATTATCAGTGTTACCTATATGGTACCAGAAGTCTCAGACATTCCTTTCATTGCTTGCATTTTCTCACTTCATGCTCTGGGAAGCCCATGGGAACCACAAAAAGTGCTCAGCTTTATGAAGTTTATTTCAAGGTATAGTATTTTGGTGAATATAAGTGCAATGCTTTTCAAACTTTATCATGCAAATGAATCACCTAGGAGATCCGTGAAAAAACAGATTCTGATTTATTAGGTCTGGGGCAGAGCTTGAGATTCAGCAGTTCTAACTCCCAGTAATACTAATATGACTGCTCTGCAGGCCACATGTTTGTCAGCAAGGGCTTAGGAAGCCATGACCCCTTAAAAGGGTACCAGGCCTGAAATTGTGAAAGGGTCTCTGACTCATCAGTTGATTTTCAGGGATTATTAACCATCTATTTTCATAAGGCACAGAGAGAGATCTTCCACTGGTCGAGGAAGAAAAGAATGAGTTTTCCTGAAATAGGGTTTCTTCACAGTATAAGGCAATTAATGAGGATGAATGATATGGATAATAGATGTAATGGGAATTCCAAGGATAAATGGATAATTGAAGTAGTAACTGATGTCTTGAAATAGGAGGTGGGACTTTTGATGTATGTTAAATGTTGTAGGATTCAGACAATATTCTGAATTCTATTCCCTGCTTACCAGCTGGCCTAGCTAAACTAGCATCTGCTTTACCTCTCTGGGGATTAATTTTAAAATTTATCTTAGCAGCATTAATATTTTAGATCAGGCTTATGTTAACCAAGTTCTAATAGACCCCTATTAGGACTCTTAGAGTGTCTGGAGCCCATTCGCTATTGAGAAGAAAAAAAAATTACTCAGAAAATAGCTCTATAGAATGTTGTTAGGCAGAGGAAATTCATTTTCAATTTAAATCATAATGAAGAAATTTCACAGTAACTTTTCTGTGTCTCTGTCCTGTATTTCTTATCATTCTTTTTCTTTATTAGGGTCATGAAAAATGTGCCTTGTTAATACTTGACAAGATACAAGACGAGAGCCTTATTAATGCAAAAAATAATGCACTGCAGACGTAAGTGTAACCACTAAAGTTGGACTTGAACCCAGGGTCATAGTCATTTATTCAATAAATATTAAGAGCCTGCTGTGTGCCAGACTAGCTCTGGGGGGCACAGTGGTGAAAGATGCAGACCTGGCTTCCCCTGCATGAAGGTGACAGTCACATACCTACAAGTGCTGACCAAGCTAGGCAGTTTTAGTTAGAATCCTTCTTTTGATATGTCTTCATAGAATTTTGTGAAGTCTGTGTTTTTCTTTGCTGATATTTCTGCGGTAATATTATAAATTTAGTGGGCTGTTAGAAAAATCTTATGGACTGACATATTTGGGGAAGCTATTTGTATTATGTATTAGCATTATGTGTTCTGACTGGAAAATGACAGTTTTACAAATCAGGTTCCCAGAATACATTTGAAGAGTTTCTAAGCTATTTGTCTTGATTATATTTTAATATAATTCAGTGTAACCCTTGGTGTGAAAGATCTAAAAGCTGTTTCATTTTCTGCTTTAGGAAATTATTTATGCATTTGTTTTAAAGGCAAAGGAATTTTTTTCATTTAAGATTCTTAAGCAGGGCGTGGTGGCTCATGCCTGTAATCCCAACACTTTGGGAGGCCGAGGAAGGTGGATTACTTGAGGCCAGGAGTTCATGACCAGCCTGGCCAACATGGTGAAACCCCATCTCTACTAAAAAATACACCACCACCAAAAAAATTAGCTGGGCGTAATGGTGGGTGCCTGTAATCTCAGCTACTTGGGAGGCTGAGGCCGGAGAATCACTTGAGCCTGGGAGGCAGAGGTTGCACTGAGCTGAGACCGCGCCACTATACTCCAGCCTGGGCAACAAGATCAAGACTCTGTCTCCAAACAAACAAACAAACAAAAAATTGGGTGTGGTGGCTCATGCCCGTAATCCTGGCACTTTGGGAGGCTCAGACAGGCAGATCACTTGGGCCCAGCAGTTTGAGACCAGCCTGGCCAACATGATAAAACCCCTTCTCTACAAAAAATAAAAAAATTAGCCAGCCACGGTGGTTTGCACCTGTAGTCCCAGCTACTCAGGAGACTGAGGCAGGAGAATCACTTGAGCCCAGCAGAAGGTCAAGGCTGCAGTGAGCTGTGATCATGCCACTGCACTCCAGCCTGGGTGACAGAGTGAGACCCTGTCTCAAAAAAAAAAAGATTCTTAAGCAGTATATAAGCACAATATACTGAGTTTGACATAATTCTTTAAGGTATTATAAATTCAGTAAAACATTTGTGTGCATTTCGTAGTAACAAGGAGGGTTGAAATTATACATATATATGGGTGGCATAAATGCCAGTCATATTATTGAACTATGTGAAACAGTGATTCAAATGCTGTGTTAGAAATCAAGCAGTAAAGGGCCTTCTGCAAAATACAGCAAAGCTTGAGTTCTTCCTCTGTCTTCCTGTTTACTGTCATTGAGATTGTTTGAGATGCAGAATATTTGTAATATCTGCAGCAAGATCTGGGCCATACATACAACAACAGTTGGACCATTAGCACCTGGAAAAGATCTGGGCAGCAATTTTTTTTTTTTTCTTAAGTAAAAACATCCATGTACTATTTGCAGAGTCTAAGTACTTCCTTTTAGCGACATGGGCTAACCAGAATTCCACATTCTCACCCAAGTATGTATCACAACTGATGCTCGGTCTTGTGTTTTTTAGACCCCTCCACGTTGCTGCACGTAATGGCTTGAAGGTGGTAGTTGAGGAGTTGCTGGCCAAAGGGGCCTGTGTACTTGCTGTAGATGAAAATGGTAAGTGGAAAAAGTGAACAGTGACTGCAGGTACTTTTCATAAGCTAGTCGAAGCCAGAGGAAAATGAGAAAGATAGGTGCTAGTTTAAAAAGCGGTTAAGAATTCTGTCCCCCTTGGAAGTCCCGTGTGTGAGAAATCAAGCAAGGATAACTGGTCCTGTCTGTCGTTTTGTAAATCACATAGTCTACCTGTAGCCCACCCAATGCTGTCCATTTTGCATGCAATGCCAGCAGCTGGTCTCTAACTCCTCAGCACAGTGGTTAAAATATTTTAGACACACTAAAAGAGTTTCAGGTTGACACTCAAAATTTTAACTGCAGATGCTGAAGAGTTAGGGATTACACATGTCATTAGTGCATGCTCAAGGGCTCAAATGAAAACCTAGATTTTTGATTGTATTTAAGTTCATTCTGAGATCAAACTTTTTTTTTTCTTTAAGTACAGATCAGAACTCATATTCCAAGTATGGAAATTTGAGGAACAAGAGTAAAATTTCTTAATCAGTGTCTAGGCTTGAAGCTTCCCCCGATCTGCATAATGTTCCTTTCCTAATGAACTAATTCTTAACAGAAGCTTTCTACTCTGCTTCCTAAGACATTTTGAAAAGAATGGCTACTAGAATTGCACTAAGCTGCCATTTTAAGCACAACGCCTATTAACCTTGGGGAGCAAAAAAGGAACTTCTGGATATTTATGAATTCTGTAATTTTTAAAATGTAGCATTTAATTAAAGTATTATAATGTATTAATGTAACTCAATCAACTGCTTGTTACAGGTGTTGGGATTAGCAGCTCATGCCTGTTTCTCAGAAGTAAGCAGCCATACTGGCATCAGTAGCTAACTCTTATTAGTTTTGATTTTCCAGCCCCATTTATCCTAGCATGTACCCTGCTCTGTCCCCCACCTGACTCATCTAGGAAGTGCAGAAAGTTCCCTATTACTCCATCTCCTTGGTTTTCCTGCCTCACCCTCCCACACCCTCTTAACGCCACTGTAGACTTAGGGTCGGCCTCCAGAGGCCCACAGTTTTTCTCCAAAATGGTCAAAGAGAATAGAATAAATTAGTTTTGCTTTTCCTGGTGTAAATCTGCTGCACTGAAGGTTTGTTCAGCTGAGAGTGACCTTAGGAACAAGAGCCCTGGGTTGGTGCATACCTGCATCCCAAAGGCCTGGGAACGTTTGGGGCAATTTTATACAGCAGTACAACCACGATTCCTTTACTCATCACTGACTTTTGTGGAATGAAATGTTAAACTACCTGTTCATTCTTATTTGTGTTCATACCAGAAAAATGAATGATGTACTAAAGAGCAGGGTGGGGAGAGCAGGTCGAGTGATGATAAACAAAACAACAAATGTGAAGTTTTAGTGAGCTATTCCTCTGAATTACTGAGCAAGTGCCCTACTCACTGTGTAGTGGAAACTTTGACCAGCCGAGAAGGCAGCTAACCCTTTTCAGGCCAGTAGAATAAAGGTTGGATAAGGGAAATAATCAAGTCAAAGACTTAATCTACTTCCCCAAAGAACCTGTATTATGAGTTAAGACAGTTTTCTTATCTGGGCTGGACCCATTGAGTCTAAATGAGAATAACATGGTTCTAATTATGACAAGCATAGTAATTTTCTCACATCCATTACATTTTAGATTTGGGACTTTGGTTGGTGAGTGGCCATTTTTAAGTACTCTATTAGGCCAGGTGTGATGGCTCATGCCTATAATCCCAGGACTTTGGGAAGCCAAAGTGGGAGGATCGCTTGACCCCAGGAGTTTGAGAACAGCCTGGGAAACATAGCAAGACCTCGACTCAAATAAAAAATATTAAAAAAAAAAATCAGCTGGGAGTAGTGGCACACACCTACAGTCCCAGCTATTCGGGAGGCTGAGGTGGGAGGATTGCTTGAGTCGGAAAGACAAGACTGTAGTGAGATCAAGGCCCATGCCACTACAATCCAGCCTGGGCAACAGAGTGAAACCCTATCAAAAAAAATGTTTTTGTTAAATTTCTCCTAAATGATTGTAAATTTTTAATCACAAACAACCAGTGCTTTCCTGTGTCTGATCTACTGAAATGATGCCATTTTTCTAAAACCAGTTATTGGTGTCTACTTTCTATGAAACATATATAAAGTGACAAAACTTCATTACTCACTTTTGCAGTCATCTAATTTTCAATATCTTTTCTAATTGGACACACAATTACCTAACAATAGAAAGTCATTGTTCTCAGAATGAGAGTCCTTCTCAGGCCCAGGCCTGAGGCTCATGGTGTGTGTGTGCTGTCAGGCGGAAACATCTTCCTGATTGTCCTGTTGCTGTTTATTGTGAAATTGTGTCCCACACCCACCCCCTCATGTTTGTGTTCACTAAATGAAGGCTGGAATCCTGCCTAACATTGGATAATATCGTGCTTGTCGTAGTCATATGAGCTGAAAACAAAAATAAAAAGCCCTCCATAAAATGTCTCCCCTCCCTCCCCGTCTAGCCTCACCCCTAGCATGACTTGTGAGAAGTAACTCCTCCTTTTACCTGGCATGATTTCTAACTCAACATACATCTCCGCCTGTGAGGTCATCTGAGATGTACTGTGGAATGCTCGTGCCTCCTCTAGACTCCCCAGAACTAACCACTGCCTTGTCTGCATTTACGCCCAGGTCATACCCCGGCCCTGGCTTGCGCTCCTAACAAAGACGTGGCTGACTGCCTGGCCCTCATTTTGGCTACCATGATGCCTTTTTCTCCTTCCAGTACAATGACGGCTGTCAACTTCGTTTGTTTAAAAAAAGACAATTTGAGCAGGACGACCCTCTCCAATCTGGGTAGCATGGTTAGCCTGTGCAGTAACAACGTAGGCTCGGAGGATGGGTACAATGAAAATGATTCTGATTCGGAAACGTTTTGACTTTGGACTGTAGAAGCTTTCCTTTGATCACCTGTGTTGGAGGAAAGGAAAGAAGCTTGAATTCCAGGTTTATGTGTGTTCAAGTATTATTTGGGGCCTGGGCTTCCAGAAGCTAGTAGAGAAGGAATTAATCGAGGGCGGGCAGTGAGGCTGTTGGGTGGAACACTCACACAGATGGCCCCAGTTTTGTTTTGTTTCACATCTTCTTTAAGATACTTCTATGGAAGTCTACCTCTCATTTTAAGTAAAGAATAAAAGATGTATTTAATTCCTGTTCTTTGGGGATAATGCAACAGAGAGGCAGCTGTTCGCTATGAATAATTTTTCTTTTCATGTATTTAGCAGTGAATTCTCAGAAGTATATCAGTGTGACATTCATGTCCCCTGGGAGGGAAGGGAAGAGGCAGATAGGAAATGCCTCAAACCTCTTCTCACTTTGATGTTTACTTCCTCACTAGAAGCCAAAGGTAAAGGTGTTCATCTTTAGAAATAATGCCTGTAATAATCTTTTTAGAGAGTCCAACTATTTATATCCTCTCTATAGTAAGCATTTAAATATCCAGAACTTCTTTCTGAGGATCTCTGTTAAAGTTGCCAGATGAATTGAAAAATTGAACTTGCGTTTTTTGTTTAACACAGTGTTCTCTATAACAAGCCTGTGACTAATTTTCACTTAAGTGATTGAACCCAAATTTATCTAATAACATTTCAGGTGAAAATTACATTGCACCAAAACTTTGACACAATATGCAAAATTAATATGAAACTACCCTTTGTTAATTTACTCTTAAATCAAAATACTAACTTTTAAAAACCATGAGAATCATCAGCATTGTTCATCAGTAGTAAAATGAACTTCCAAGTCAAGGCCATGCCAAGTGAGTGAAAAGTGTGACTGCAAAAAGGAACAAAAAAAGTGAAAGCAGAAAGTAGAAGTGGGTGATTTAGCAAGTAAAGACGATTGCCAGTTGCTTGATGATGAAATCAACATAGTGAATACTGTGTCTGCTCCCTCTGCCAAAGCTTCTAGGTCAAACGGACCCCGTTCCACACCTGGAACCGCTGTACAAAAAGAAGAATGAGACTCTTTAAAAATTATGCACATACACACGCACACATATATGTGTGCGTGTGTATATATGTGTGTGTGTGTGTAGTTCATCAGCCAGCTACACATGAGGACCAAAATGCTTCAGTCTAAAATGGAAGATATACATTTTTTTCCTTCAAAATGCAAGTGAGAACTGAAGTAGCTTTTTTATGGAGTTAAAATGTAATCTTTTTGTGTACCAGTCTTTGTTGTATTTTATATTTCTTATGACACAGATTTCTAGTTGACCACTTAACATTTGTAGCTGATGATGTATTGACCATGTTTTTTTTTGCCAAACTAGAGAAAATGTCCATATACTTTTGATGTAAATGTGTTTATATTTATTTGAAATGAAGCAATTAGTGAGGAACCATCCATTATTTGTTCTCTATTTTAATTGCTATGTATCTTATTTAGAATAACAAAAACAGTGAAAAAACACACTTGACCCTGGGCTAGCCAAAAGCCCAAGGGCCACACCCAGCATTTCCACTGCTAGGGTTTCCAGCTGACCCTCAGGTTCTTCCGCGCTGGTTAGAGAGGGCTACGCATCTTCTATTGCTCAGCCACAGTCCGTAAAGCTTAGAGCTTAGAAGACATTGCAGTCTGGATGCTCTTCTGCGAGATGAAAACTCAAATGTGTAGTGGATCATATACACAAAGGCAGCCCAAAGAAATATCTAGAAATTACCCTAAGTACACTGAAAAGCTCACATAGTCTCAGTAACCTGATGGGAAATGATGGCAGTATGTGGGCACATGTGCTAAAAGGAGAAATAAAAATCACCAGCTCAAGTGCTATTTTCTACTTGAGGACGAGACAGAAAAGAAATGTGTCGAATTGGAGAAGTACTCTCTCACATTTTATAATGAGTTCCATTTCCACCCTGGAAATTGTATTTTATAGTGTATGTGAGATATTTTTAAAATAATGTTCTATCATATCTGGATCAAAGACAGATAACTGTATTATATTTTTCATCTAACTGTAAAACTTTAATCTTATTCTTCATATCCTGGATTTGATTAAAACTCCTGTTGGGTTCTTCACAAATGAGAGCTTGCTCAGAGGACTGATTGAACTGGTATTAATTTCCCTGAAAATTTCCCACACCACCACCGTTTTTTGAATTCTTGGCGTTGTGCTTCCCACCTTCTGTCCTTTTCGTTTGTTTAGAGAAGATGAATTTTTAAAAAGCAGATAAATTGCTAATGAGCAATAATGACCTTCTCTTTACCAAAACACTGAAAATTAAGAGAGATTCAATGTTGAAGAAGCACAATATACTGCGGTGTCTTTTTCTAGAAGTGAATGGAAATCTTGCTCAGTTGGCATTTCAAGCAGGAAATGAAATGCTTGCTTTAATGGCAAAGCAGCGTTAACATTTTTCCTGTTGTGTAGCAGAGAGTACAAGAATCATTTCAGCAAAGCAGTGACTCACCATGAGACGTTATCTCCATGGAGCTGCGTTTTGACTTTTCCCCACTCTCTTACTCATAGAAGGAGGACAAAGGAACGAAATGAAATCATGCTCACAATGAACTGTTCATTACATCAACTGATATCTCTCTCTCTCTCCCCCTCTTTCTCCCATACCCCAAGGCTAAATTTTTTTTAAAGAAATGACTTTAAAAACTATCATTTCTGTATTTTAATTACATCCCTTAGAAATAAAATTATGTTTGCACCGTAGCTTTCTAAGGGGAAAAAAAATGTGTTTTTAACTGAGTCTTAGTTGCTTAGTGCTTTTACTGAAGTGTGTTATTTTTAGACTGTATTTTAACCACAGCCACAAGGATCATGTTTCATTGCACTTACTTATTTGCCAGTGTCTGCCTGTCTTTGGTAAATGCATTACTATCTCCAAATTGCCTAAAATCTGCTATGATTCTACAGTAAATAGCTCAGGGTATTTCTATTTATCACTACTAAAAGGGCACCATAGTATGTTTTGGTACTTTAGGCAGTAAACACTGCTTGGTTTATCATTTTGTTATTACATTACAACAAGAACATCAAATGGATTTGCTGCACTAGTTATTCTTTGTACTGTTGAGCAACTTGGTGTGCTTATATGTTGTGTTGGTTGAAAAACTCATCCCTTTTTTTGTCTTGTAATATGAAGTTAGAGTGCCTTTTTATATTTGTATATTCTGGAAATGTTCCGTGGAATGTTTTGTATTTTTTCATTTGAGTGTTTTCAGAGCAATATGATACCAGTGAGTTTTCATTTCAACCTTTCTTTGAATGTATAAAGTGTCTTTTTTCCTATTTCCCCTTGTACTTGCATTGAAATGAATATGAAAATGCTAAAGTTTTCTATAGGAATTGTTTGATTTTGCAGTGCTAAAATGCTTTCTTCTTACAAAACTGTAAACCATAGGTCAGTATTATAGGAGAAAAGCATTTTAAGATAGTGACAATCTGAGTGTTTGTATAAAATGTAATTCTATGCGTTTCTTATGTGATCTAAAAATTCAATGCAAATATCTTTTATTTGGTAGTTTTGTCTACATATTTTATGCTCTAGCATGTGCAATATATCTTTGTAAAGCACGATGATACAAATCTGGTGCCAGTGTTATATTTTGCATAACATATTTGTAACAGCATAAAATATTGTTTGATGATTTCAGTGGGATTTTGTCTATGATGTTTTCTTATGTAAATTGGAGTTGAATGACTGGTAAATGTCATGACTGTAAAAATGGGGAAAATGACTTTTAGTTCAGTGAATGACTTTGAACCAATCTGAATCTTCTCAAGCACAGTTTAATACTTTTGCAACTACTGAATGCTCTAATAACATAACGAAGTACTTAACTGTAATATACTATGGAAATGCATTCAGATGGTTATTTTTACAAATAAAAACGGTACACATATTGTTGCGATTTGTATTTTAATTTTTCCAATTTATGCTTTTTCTAAATTATGCTAATTTAAATCTTTGCACTCCCCCAAGCCAAACTAACTTTAAATTTGGGAACTAATCAAGATAAAAGTGTATCTCCAGATTCACAATTTATGTTTGTATTATCACAATTAGAGAAAAAATTCAAACATACATGCTTGTGTTTATTATATGTATTTATGCTTCCAACTTTTTTCCATAAAGGATTTTGTTTTGTTTTGTTTTGTTTTGTTTCTGCTTTGTTGTCCAGGCTGATGGGCAGTGGTGAGATCTCAGCTCACTGCAGCCTCGACCTTCTGGGCTGAAGTAATCCTCCTACCTCAGCCTCCCAAGTAGCTGGGACGACAGGTGTGCACCACCATGCCTAGCTAATTTTGTTTTTTTATAGAGATGGGGTCTCACTATGTTGCCCAGGATGGTCCATAAAGGATTTGAGCTGGGTTATGACAAAAGATGTGGTAAACTACAAATAGAAAAATGAGAACAGAGAAAAAGAATACAAACCGATACAGGAACCATAAAATTTAAAACAGTATCTATGACTGAACTTGAGTTTGCTCTTAGCTTCCTTGCAGCCAAGGTAAGAGGAGAAACGTGATCAGTTATATAGTTCACATATATCAAAAAGGAAGTTTATTAGGTCCTCAAAATTGTGAAATCAACCATGCCTATCTTTGGTATTGTCACCATTACCCTTCAGGGACTTCAGAGCAACACAAGAACCTCCATCTCTGCACTATCCTTAAAGATATCCATAGAATTTCTTTCTCCATCTATCTCACCATCCAAAATTTTTCATCTTGAGTAGTAACTTCAGGGACAGTCCCTGGAATCACTAAGGAACAAATTCCTAATGATGGAGTTTCCAGTTATTGACAAAGACATTTGGGGGTGGTGCCTGCCTGAGTTCCTCAAATCAAGTGTTATAGAATGTTAGCAGTTATTACAGTCCAGCCCAGTCACATCACCAGCTCTTTCAGGAAGAAACTGAATCCTAGAGAAGTTATACAACTTGAATTTTTGAAGATAGTGACCTGATGATACATCTGCCTCTAGATGTTCTCTCTTCCATGCCATCTTGCCATATAATGTTTTGTTTTTTTCGCCAGAAATGTTAAGGGAGGTTTTGTACTCAGCCCTGCCTCCCTCTCTATTCAGATACACAAATCTGGGTACTTTTCAGTCTTAAAGGCTGTAAAGCAGGAGTCACACCACAAGTGAGTGCTTTCTGTTGTTTAGAGCAGACTGGGTATATTAGTTATCTATTGCTGTGTAACAAATTACCCCAAAACTTAGTGGCTTAAAACAACAAATGTTTCCTAACTCACAGTTTCTATGAGTCAGCTCTAGTTTAGCTGGGTCTTCTGTTCCAGGGTCTCTCACAGCCTGTAATCACGGTGTTAGCCTGGGAACGATCCATTTCTAAGTTGACTCATATGGTTGTTGGCAGGATTCTTCTCGTGGGTTGTTACACTGAGTGCCTCCGTTCCTTGATGGTCGTTGGCTGCCCTCCGCTCCTTGCCAGATGGGCCTTCCCGTAGGGAAGCTCACAACATGGCAGCTTGCCTGGTGGGCTAGCATGCTGACAAAAGCCAGGAAGACAAAGAGCAAGACAGAGTCACAGATTTTTGCAACTGCATTTCAGAAGTGATATTTCATCATTTTTCTCATATTCTATTCATGAGAAGCAAATTACTAAATCCAATCTATACTCAAGGGCAAGGGATCCCCCAAGGGTGTGAGCAGCAGGAACAGCAATCACTAGGAGCCATTTTTGGAAGCTACTCACCATCCTGGTCTATCACAGTGTCCTTTGAGGCTGTAACATCTTACTAATACACCTTCTTCCCAGTCATTGCTAAAGAAATTGCTTGCTTGACTGCCTGAACTCACCCTTTCAAGGAAAATGTAGAGGTCCCTAATTTTAATTGTGTTCTCATAAGCAGAGAAAGGTGATAATGGCCTCCACTGCGATAATTATATTTTTGAACATTGATGTGGCACTTTGTCTTCAAACTGCTTGTCAAAGATTCCTTCTCACTAATTCCATTTGGTAGGTTTAGATCCCTGTATATCTATCCCTCACTTAACACACTTAATGTGTTTCAGAATTAGTTTGCAAAGCACAAAAGCATTAAGCTAAAAGGCTATTAACATAAAAACATTGTGGGTAAAAGTACTATATGAATTGTCTCTTTAGCAAATTTCATCCTGAAGGTACATTTGCTGTAAACTATAAAGCACCAAGATAATGGCTGTGCCATTCATTAATTCTCAGGCACTCTAGGGAGTGATTGGAAATGTGTGGGCATTTGTGGTTGGCACAATGGCTGGGGGGTGAGCAGGGCTGCTACTAGAGCATTTGTGGTTCCAAGGGCCAGGGAGACCAAATGTGCCACTCAACCCACGGAATAACTGTGCCACTTACAATGTCAATGCTCCTCTACACCACTGCTCGCCTATTTGCCTTCCTCTTGTTTCTGAATCATTTCTTCATCAATGTATTGCTTGTGACGCCAGCCATATTGCCTCATCTATTTTCACAAGGGATTGCATAAACACACTTTATATGCTCTGAGAACGAGAACTTATAAGATTGAGAAGAAGAACTTTGGAAGGCAATGCTGAGCACATGTGCCCTCGATATGTATTTTTCTGGGGGAGAAGATTTGCACAGATCAAGACATCTTTAATTCGTTATCAAACCACAAATGTCATACACACATATATTTCTTGTCTTAAGCAAGAGGTGATTGTATCTACTTTCCCGGTGGGGAGAACTCCTGCTCACAAAGATGGGACACTTGGCCCACCATCTCATGGCAAGCTCTGGCAACACAGTACTTCAGCCTCACAGGGTTCTCTAGGCACTGGTGGACACAATTTCTAGGATACTATTTTCTACTTTTAAATGTCAATTTAATGAAGTACTGTGTATTTACATTCTGGAAGAATTTTATAATTTTCAAACGTAGAAATACTGAAGCAGTACTTTTAGAGCACAAAAAGCTTACCTGTGTTTACATTGAGTTGAAAATACCCAGCAAATTCATGAACTTTATTTATATTTTTTATAGTTGGGGTTCCTAAGAATTACTAACATTTAAGCTCAGATCCTAACCACAAGAAATGACCAGCTATGCAAAGATCAGAGGAGAGAACATTCTAGGGAGAGGGAATGGCTAGTGCCAATACCCAAAGGCAGGAATGAGTTTGTTATGTTCCAGGAACAGAAATGGGGCCAGTGTGACTGGAGAGTCAAGGGAAAGGGAGGGTGGCAGAAGATTAACAGCGATCTTCTGATTAAGAGCCCAGATATAAAATTTTGTGAGCTGGGAGGAGTTTCTATATTTTTCTGAATCTGACAAAAGCCACTGGAGAAATGTAAGCAGAAAAATGGCTGTGGTCTGATTTTTTTTTTTTCTGTCATCTTTTTAAAATTTTTATTTTACTTTAAGTTCTGGGATATATGTGCAGAACATACAGGTTTGTTACATAGGTATACATGTGCCATGGTGGTTTGCTGTACCTATCAACCCGTCATCTAGGTTTTAAGCCCCGTATGCATTAGGTATTTGTCCTAATGCTCTCCCTCCCCTTGCCCCAACCCACCGACAGGCCCTGGTGTGTGATAGTCCCCTCCGTGTGTCCATGTATTCCCATTATTCAACTCCCACTTCTGAGAGATAACATGTGGAGTTTGGTTTTCTTTTCCTGTGTTAGTTTGCTGAGAATGATGGCTTCCAGCTTCATCCATGTCACTGTAAAGGACATGAACTCATTCTTTTTTATGGCTGCATAGTATTCCATGGTGTATATGTGCCACATTTTCTTTATCCAGTGATTTCATTTTTAAAAGATCATTCTGGCTGCTGTTGAGAGAGAAACCCTAGTGACCAGTTAAGTGGCCACTGCAGTAGCCTAGACAAGTAAACATAGTGGCTTGGATTGTCCGGCAACAAGGGAAATGAAGAGAATGTGACATGTTTTGGATATGTCTTGAAGGCAGAGTTGACTGAATTTGCTGATGGCTCGAGTCAAGTAAACAGTAGAGTTTGGGGAAGAAGCCAGGGCTGGGATCATATGAAATTGTAGATATGTGAAAGTTGATTTGGAGTCATTCCTGTCCTACCCAATGAAAATGGAGTCAAGGAGCCATTGTTGGGAAAAAGCACTCTGGTCACAAACGTCTTCCAAAAACTGTTTTGCAAGTTTACTCCAAGGAAACAGCCTGCTAAGACTTCAAGACAAACTTTACCTAGCAGTTGCTGCCACCTGCCAATCAGAGCTCACCAGCTCCCACTCTGCTATCGCCAATTAACTTTCTTTCAAAACAACTTACATCATCTTTCTCCTTTCCCAATAAAACTCCAGCCCTTTCCTTTGTTCTTTGGACACACTGGAAACTACCCTGGTCTCATTGTGCATGTCCCTATTGCAAGCCTACTTTCTGTATATTACTCTCAAATAAAATCCTCTTGCTTAGAGATTTGTCTTTGCATATATATATATATATATATATTTAGTATTGACAAATGAGAAGAGATTCCCTCAGGAATAAATGATAGAAGAGCCCCGAAATGTGGACACTCCAACATTTAGAGGTTAGGAAGGGGAGGAGGAAGATCTAGCAGAGAAGACAAGACATAATGGTCAGAGGTGGGAGGAAAACCAAGAGACCAAGATGTCCCTGAAACCTGGGAAATAAAGGGTCATAGAAGAAGGAGTGTCAATTATTTCTATTGTCTCAATTGCTTCTGGGAAGTCAAATGCAGAGAAGCTGACCAATGGATTTGGCAAGATAGAGTTTATTTATTTATTTATTTTATTATTATTATTTTGAGATGGAATTTCACTCTTGTTGCCCAGGCTGGAGTGCAATGGAGTGATCTCGGCTCACTGCAACCTCCACCTCCAGGATCAAGCGATTCTCCTGCCTCAGCCTCCTGAGTAGCTGGGACTGCAGGTGCACACCAC